CAGGGTCTTTTTTTTTTCCCCCCGTTCTTGGTCCTGGTGATGCTTTGGGCACCGAGAGGTCTCTCTTTCCCCCCCCCGGGGCTCGAGAGCCAAACCAAAATCATCCCCCGTGGCACCCACCCAGTAGACGCTTGGAGAAGTTGCTGGAGCTGCGTCTCCCCCGGTGTTTCCCCATCCAACTTTTTGCACCACGCAGCTGAGGGCGGCTCGGCGAGGAAGTGGGGAAATGTCCATTTCCTTGGTGACCGGGGCGGGGGAGGGGACGACCACGAAGCCGAGCGGTTTGGGGTGCTTGCACCAGACGTTCTTGAGGAGCATCTCACCGGGCTGATCTTGGAGGTGCTGCCTCTTTTCCACGAGGGGAGAGGATCGTTGGATGGAGGGAGAGATGATGATGATGGACATAAGGAAGAGATGTTTTATGATGAGGGTGGTGAGATGCTGGAACAGGTTGCCCAGAGGAGTTGTGGATGCCCCATCTTCAAGGTCAGGTTGGATGGGACTTGGAGCACCCTGATCTAGTGGAAAACGTCCTCACCCATGACAGGGGGTTGGACTAGATGATCTTTGAAGGTCTATTCCATCCCAAACCCTTCCATGACTCTAGGGACGGGGCTTTGAGGAACCTGATCTAGTGGAAAAAGTCCCTGCCCATGACAGGGGGGTTGGACTAGATGATCTTTGAAGGTCCCTTCAACCCAAACCGTCGTGTGATGTTATGGACGGGGCTTTGAGGAACCTGATCTAGTTGAAGATGTCCATGCCCATAACCGGGGGGTTGGACTAGATGATCTTTGAAGGTCTCTTCCATCCCAAACCCTTCCATGACGCTAGGGACGGGACTTTGAGGAACCTGATCTAGTGGAAGATGTCCCTGCCCATGACAGGAGGGTTGGACTGGGTGATCTTCGAAGGTCCCTTCAACCCAAACCATTCTATGATGGTCTAACAGAGTGTGGTTTCTAGGTTGGGAGCTGGTGGAGGATGGACTTCTCGATGTCCAATTATAGCTTCAATTACTCCAACTGGGATGACTATTCCATATATGATCTCGATGGCTATGAAGTCCCTCACAGCTACCGCGCTGTCCTGGCGCTCTACGCCCTCATCTTCCTCCTGGGCGTCTTCGGCAACGGGGCCGTCATCTGGGTGATCATCTTCGAGCTGCGGCGCACGGTGAACGGCGTCTGGTTCCTCAACCTCTCCGTGGCCGACCTCCTCTGCTGCCTGGCCCTGCCCTTCCTGGCCCTGCCGCTGGCCCGTGACCACCACTGGCCGTTGGGTCACTTCGCCTGCAAACTGCTGCCCTCCCTCACCATCCTCAACATGTTCGCCAGCGTCCTCCTCCTGACGGCCATCAGCGCTGACCGTTGCGCCCTGGTGACGCGGCCGGTGTGGTGCCAAAATCACCGGACCCTGGGGCTGGTCCGGGGGGCTTGTGCGGCCGCCTGGTTCCTGGCTGGGCTCCTCACCCTTCCCTCCTTCATCTTCCGCACCACCCGTTCTGACATCTTCTCCGAGAAGACCACCTGCGTCCTGGACTACACGGCCGTAGGGCATCACCAACATCTCACCGAGCTCGTCACGGCCGTCACCCGCTTCATCTGCGGCTTTCTTGTGAAAAAAAATCACGGCTTGCTACAGCCTGCTGCTGGCCCGTGTCCACAGCAAGGGCTTTGCCCGCTCCCAGAAAGCCATCAGGGTCATCTTGGTGGTCATCATCAGCTTCTTCGTCTGCTGGTTGCCCTACCACGTCGTGGGGTTGATCTTGGCCTCCACCCATCCTCACAGCAGCTTGTTCAAGGGCGCCCTGGAAGCTGACCCCATCGTGGCCGGTATTGCCTACGTCAACAGCTGCGTCAACCCCATCATCTACGTCGTCATGGGCCAGGACTTCAAGGACAAGTTCCAGCGTTCCTGGAGAGCCGTGCTGCGGGGCGTGCTGAGCGATGACCCCACCAGCACCATGGGGGACAGCAGGATGAAGACCAAATCCACCATGGATGACCACAGCGTGAGCACCACAGTGTGACCAGGAGGGAGGTGGCTCCAGGGCTGGAATGTCGCTTGTGTTGCTTGAGGACGTCACCTTCTCCTCCTCTCCTGGAGGTCCCACTGGGCCCCGTAGAGAGAAGAAGATGCCTCCATCGCCCCCTTTCCCCACCAGTTGCCCCAGGTTGTTGCAGGCTGGGGAAGTTGTGTGCCCACCTACCCCTGGGGACCTCCTCCTGGCTTCCTCGGTGGCCTGCCAGCGGTGAGAGGACTTTGTCCTCGCACGCAATACCACGTTCTGCTGCTTCTCCAGCCCAAGCATGGACCCTATTTCTCCCCTCTCTCAGCCCCATAAGAGCTGTG